CAAGGCTGTGCGTTCCAGCCAGAATCGGGCCGGAGCGCAGTGCATCTGGTGTGAATGGGCCTTTACAAGTACTGTAAATACTTTAAGCATTACCAGGCAAAAATATGTGATTGTTTTACTGTGCATGACTGCACTGACCTATAAGTTCCTTGTCTGTTGTGCTGCAGACAATTGCTTGTATCCTGCCTTTGTGTTGAAAATACAACAGCTTATGTTAATGTACTGCTATGTCTTTTGAGCACTAGATAGTGCTGTGGTGCAGTGTTGGTCTCTATGCTCATGTATGTGCTTGTCTGTGATATAGACCTGATACAAGACAATGTAAAATACTGCCCAGACAGCACAAAGTAGATTGAAGGAGTATGGGTAGGGTAGGAGGTATTGGATATAGATGCTGGGTTACCTCTAACTGAAGCATACACAGGAATAAGCCTTTTTGACATCTCAGAGAAAAACAAGAGTGCCACACAAATGGTTTTGAGATTCGAAAATATGTATGTAGTCATAGAAGTCCAAGATAACAAGCAAATGTGTTTCAGGAACTATATAATATACCTTCACCAGAGATACTATGGGGTCTATTCACTAAGCTGCCGTAGGCAGCCGAGTGAATGACTGACCTGAAACGAAGTGAGCCGAACGCTATTCGTTAGCTGGTAACCAGGGACGCTGATCTCTCTGCAAGTGGCCGGAGCCAGCTGTAAGATCACAGCTGGCTCCGCCCAGCTGTCAGAAGCAGGCTGTATGCCTTCGGCTCGACTGAGGCGCTCGGCCAAGTTCGGGAGCTGTACGGGCTATAGTGAATAGCCTGTACAACAGCCCTTCGGTTCTACTGAACCGAAGGGCTCCTGGGGCCAAAGCTAGCCAAAGAATCGGCCGAAGCTATGGCTAGATCCTTCAGCTGCTTCGTGAATAGACCCCTATGTTTTCCATCTCTGAGATGGAAACCATGGGCTTAAATAGATAACAAATTCTGGAGTATGATTTATCCTTGTTAGTAATCTTGGTGAGTTTGACCCTGTTGTAGATACCATCAGCTCAGTAGGTTGTCATACTGCCCGTACAAACAAGTCTTAGAAGGGTATGTACAAATCCATAAATCGGTGGTTGAGACAAGAAAAAGGCGTTAGATTAAATTGTTTGATTGCTATTGTTTTCCTTCTAATAACCTAGCGCCAGAGAGGTCTGACCTACCTTTTTCTATAGGCTCCACAACTAAGATGATCTTTCTTTTTGAGATATGTGTGTATCCGCACAGATGTCTGCACCCCTGACCACCCTAAACCTGAAAAGTACTTTATTCACAAAAAAAGTTTAGCTTTTTTGACATTGTACTTAGGTCATATCATGTAGTTAGTTTATATACAAAGAGTACTTAGCAAAGCTCTTTAATGTTTCATGGCAACGTTTATAAAATCAACTCCATTGTGACAACTTGGAGGGGTTGCTTTAGGGAGAATTCAATTGGCAACAAAGTATTGCAATATATTCTTAAGTTTGTCATTTACAACGAATATGAATATTAACATTGTATTTTCAGTATATAGATGTTTCGTTTTTATATTTTTCTTAGCTTTGTTTATGTTGAGGAAGGGTTCTCACAGGCTTAACAACACTGGAGAGGAAACTATGAGGAGATTGTTTGGACAAAACTGTTATAGATTGCTGTCACATAGATGGTGTGATGCCATGGCTGATGTGTATTCTTTTTTGTACTTTCCTTTAGTTTACACTTGATGAAGTGATTAAAATAACAATCTGTTTTAGTTTATTTACTTCCCTGTACAATGTGCCTAGTTAGGTGTGGTAAAGAAAGATGATTATTAATTAGAAAATAAATAAACACCTTTTCAATTATATATACCAATAGATCATGCTGGTTTTGTGAAGATCATGTAAGCTTAAGGAAGTCTCTTGTTTGCAGTTACTAAGCTTATTCATACTTCCTTTTTACATTCCAAATTCAGAAAAAGATTAATCCATCAATGCAGTCTATTAAGTTTTCATAAATGATATTTAGTGTGCTGCAAAGCAAGAGTTGGGATGCCTTTTGAAACTTGCATGTGGAATGAATTGTCCCTTGCCCCCTATCAAAGCATCATCCTTGATGAAATAAACAGGTCAAGGGAGAGACCTGTTCCTGCCTCCTTTAGCTGACAACTCTTTTGCTACATGTGTTTTTATATCTACGATCTCGTAAGTGCTTCTGATTTATGTGTCATGGAAAAATAAATGCTTTTTTAAAGCATCATCCTTGTTCCCCCACAAAATCCCATCAATGTTTGTATGTGTGTGTGTGTGGAAGGGGTGCAGTAGGCAGATGTATAATGCATTGCTGGGATTTGTAGTCCTCTATATCCGGTAGCCATTCAACAGTGATGTATAATGTATCACTGGGATTTGTAGAACTCTCTAGTTGATGGTATTATTCTGCATTGCTGTATAATGTATCGTGGGGATTTGTAGTCTCTCTACAGCTTGGGGTCATTGGCAGAACTACCAGGGATACAGAGTTTGCAGCTGGAACCGGCCCGGTTATTGAGAAAATGGCAGGTACCTAAACTAGCTGTTTTCTTTTACATTTTACTGCAATTTCTGCCCAAGAATTGGCTTTAGCTAAACTGTCTGGCTGTAGAACAGTAATAGGGGCAAATGGTTTTGGGGTGGGATTTGGGAGCACACACAGGACATGCTCTGCCTGTTCAGTAACACCCACTATGTAATTTATAATTCAATGTTGCTATTGATGAGAGATGAAGGTGCGTGCCAGTGGATGCAATAACCTATTTTACAGGGGCTTCTGCACACATTGGCCACTAGCATTCCACACCTGCCCTGCATTGGCTGTTACTAAGGTAAACTCCAAAAAGGATTTTAACCACTTCAGTACCGGCATGTTACACCCCCTTCATTAACAGGCCCTTTTCAGTTTTCAGCACTGTGCAAGTTTGGCTGAGATTTCTTCAGTCACTTAACACTAACAAAATTAATTTTATATATTTTTGGGGGGACAAATAGAGTTTTCTTTTAGTGTTGTTTAATAACCACTTTTTTATTTTTTATTATATCAAGTAAAATAGACTAAAATAATTGGAAAAAGGTCTGTTTCTCTTACTTTCATTTATAAATCATACCAAAAGAAAAATATTAGGATAGTATGAAAATTACCCAAATGACCCCTTTTTGGAAAGTAGACAATTCAATGCGATCTGATGGAGCTTGGTAATAGTGCACAAGATACAATAAACATACAGGTCATAGACAGAGGGAGGATGGAGATGAAGGGTTTAATGTACAGATGTGCAGCATAAGTGAGATCAAGGTGTTAATACACACATCAGAGTAGAGATAGAATAGTGCTAACATATATAGGAAAGGAGGGAGGGTAAAAGGGTTAAACATTTAATTTTACTTTTTTTTTGCTGCTTCTAACTTGTTTTTACTTTAGGAAGCAGTGAATGGTTGAGTCATCCATTCATTACTTCCTTTACTCACCTCTGATGTAAGAGGAAAAGGAGGGCTTGGCAATGTAAACCTTGCCATGTGATCACTGTGATAACCAATCACAGAGATCACAGGACACAGAGCTGGTCCAATCAGCTCTCTGTCTAAAGCTGATGTTCTCCTTTCTGGTTCGTCCTCCCGGAATAATGTGCCAGCAGCCCGTACAGTGGCCAGTCCGCAAGTGGTTAATTTTAAGTATGGAATTCATAGATAGTACATATATTTGACAACATAATTGGACATCAGAAAGATAATTACAATTTTACTAGTTCTAATAAAATGCAGATCACTGATATTATACAAAAGTTAGAGACTTTTTTTTTTTTTTTACTAACATTCTTACATAATTTGGGGTATACTATTCTAGCCTATAGTAAGATTAGTGTATTCTTTTGCAAAGACTAGCTTAAACTTTTTTATACACCATAGCTTTTTATTGACATTTCCATAGTACAGATAGCCCTCAGTTTGCACTGGCTCCATTTGTGCCGTTTCAAAATAGTTATTTTCCTGGCAGTCACGTGACCACCATTGAAACAACAGCTCCATCTAGTGTATCCTTCCTCCGCAGACCTCAGCTGCGGAAGGATATGCAGGGGAACTCTATACAGCTGCAAGTGGCTAGAATACTAAAAGTACAGTATAGTATGTGCAGAGTCTCTGGTGGCTGGATTGGGGCAGAGGTGGAGGATTGTGGCTCAGGAAGGGGCTCTGCACAAATAAAAAACTGTGGACACCTACAGAGGCACACAGAAGGACACTTGCAGGTATGGTGGTGTGGTGCACACATGGAGATGCGCTGGTGGCACAGGGATACACATGGAGATATACACAGGCATATAGAGACATGCTGAAGGCACAGGGTGTACACTTGGAGCTACAAAAGAGCATAGGGATATATGTGGACATACACAGGAGCACAGGGATACACTTGGACATACACAGGAGCACAGGGGTACACTTGCAGATATGGAGGAGCACAGGGATACACTTGGAGATACACAGGAGCACAGGGGCACACTAGGAGATATGGAGGAGCACATGGGTAAACTTGGAGATATAGAGGAGCACATGAGATACACTTGGAGATATGGAGGAGCACAGGAAGTACACTTGGAGAAATGGAGGAGCACAGGGGTACACTTGGAGATACAGAGGAGAACAGGGATACACTTGGAGATATGGCACAGAGAAGTTTATTTGGAGATATGAAAGCACATAAAGCCATTCCAGGGGAACAAGGGGACCCTTGAAGCATTAATAACATTCATTTTAAACCTTTACATATAGTGTAATATGTCACTTATGTCATTTTTGAGAGAGGCCTGGAACCTAACTCTCTCACTTCCCATTGACTTACATTATATACTGGGTTTCAATTTACATCAGTTTCTATTAACACTATTAACAACCATTCTTTCTGGAACCTAACCCTGGCGTAAATTGAGGGCTACCTGTAAATTGTTGCAAACAGAACACATTACATTAATACAAACCTCCAGACAGTCATTAGGATTGAAAGCTGGGCATGTTTTGGTTACTCCTACAATTTCAAAGGTGCTGGTACATTCATAGGAGGCACATTGATCTTCTGGTGGAACGTACACCTCTTTAGGCTAAAATACAAAATACAAATCTCACTACTACAGCATGTTCACAGACAGAATGAAGGTTTTCCCTTCAGATACTTTAGGAAACAGAACCGGCAACTGGCATCTGGTGAAACCTTCTATACTGAAGGTCATCAGATGCCTGCTCACATACAGAGATTGTCTGTCTCATATACATATACATGCAAACCACAGATACAATCTTGGTACTCTCTAAATTTGTAATTTTGTATGTACAGTTTAAAAATAACAACACTTGTATAGAATACTTTCCTGATACCGTACATGACAGCATACAACGGGTATGGCTTCGCCCCCAGCCCAATCACAGGACCAGTTATACTATAAATTAAAGCCCGCCTCCCAAGGCAGCCATTTTTTTTCTGTCCTCACTGCTCAAGCCAGTTATACTAAGAATAGGTTGGAGTTTTTGCCCTCACCTTGCTGGTTTCTTCTGGCCTGCCGCACAGGTTCAGCCTCTCCTGTTGCGAAGTTCCCTTTGTTCAGGTGGCTAAATGCAGTCTTATAAGGGAAGCCTCCCCCATAGCCTTGGAGTTGGGGTGCAGGAAATGGTCTCTTGGGGTCTCTTCATATTTGGATGGTTCCTCCATAATGGCGGCGGGTTGAACACTAGCTTAGCCTCCTGGCCTTGTGACTCCAGAGAAGAACCGTAACTCAGCTGCATCATCACAAACTATGGTTGTACTGGGATGATTACATGCATGGACAAGCTGACAAGTAGGATCCACTCCATTTTCTTTCAATGAGTTGGTTTTAGAAATACATGTGCTACTGTTTCCTGTGACCTTGCAGTGCTGCCTTGCTCTGGCTGAATCTTTCTGAATATCTGTTATGTCTGTAGAGCCATTCAGTTTTCCACGTGTGCTTAAACCTTACAGGTGCATTACAGGGAAGTATGTGATTCTGTGGAGCTGCTATGCCTTAGCTGAATCTTGCAGGTATTTGCCTAAAACATCCATTAGCTTGCTTGTGGTGCTTTACCCTGCAGGTGCTTGCTGAGTGCAGGCTGCTGCCATGTGCTCTGCTGCTAAAGCTTAACTAGATCTTACAGAAATGTGTT